CTACTACTACTACTACAACTACTACCGCCACATCATCTGCCACTGCCACTGCCACTGCTACAGCCACCAATACTGCTGTCGTTTAGATGGATGATGGCGATGTCGCGCGTTTACCAGCTCTTTGACCAAGGGCTTCCGCAACTCCACCGGTGGCACCCCTGCGGACAAGGTCAAGGAACGTTTCGAGCTTGAGAAGGGTGCCCCCAAGGCTCTCCTGGGGACGCTGGAAAACTGCACCAGGGACATTGCCGCCTCGAATGCCAGCTTCGACGAGTGCAAGGAGCAGCTCAAGACCTTGCTGCAGACGCTCAAAAGCGAAACTCGCTCGACTTGGGGGTTTGCTGTGTGTGAGACATCCTGTAAGGGACCAAGTATAAAAAGCGGACATGGAGCATTAGAAGGGCCAAGAAGGGGCCATTCTTTTGGAGGAGCTGCCTTGTGTGAATGAGGGAAGCGTGCCTGACGGAGACCGTTTGAACCGCTAGAACCCCTAAACTCGAATCCCAGACTTCCCAGGAAACGCTGACAGACGAGGAGGTGGAGCGCGAGATCAGGAAGATCGCAGGGGAGAAGGCGCAAGCGCGGAGCAGTCTTCTCAGTTGCAGTTCTGGGCTTCGCCATCTCCATGTCTCAATCCCCGGAACTTTACTCTTGAAGTGTCATGGTGCATTCGATGGTGCACTACTCCTAACCTGCTACGCCAATGCTGCTAGCAGGCAAAGCACATTGTCAGCACCTGCTCGGCTGCTGCCACAACCGATGCCGCGAAGGCCGGACAAGATCCAGGGGTCCCGCCTCTTCCTTGTTTTGGGTTTAGGGTTTAGGGTTTAGGGTTTAGGGCCTTTTCCTCAAAGCTGAAAGCTCTGTAATCTCTGCTTTGAGTTCTGTGCATGGCGTGCGCAGTACCCTTGTCGTTCCCATGCGTGCTTGTGTCAAGCCTCAAACCTCGGGTTAGCGCCGAATTCCCACGATCGACAAAGGACTGAACCGTCGACCCGAACACCGGCTAAGAACGGCTTCGCTGAGAGCATTGACAACCAAGATAAAGCAAGGGGAGTAACCCTAAACCCTAAACCCTGAACCCTAAAACCCTAAAACCCCCAAGCCCTAAACCCCCCAAAAAGCCCTAAACCCCTAAACCCGTCCTTTCCCTGTCCAGGAGGCCTGCTTGTCCAGCGCGGAAGCCATGCAAGCCCTGGCCACTTTGACGGGTCGGACCCTCGAGTCGATTCCCGAGGAGGAGCCGGGGGGGGGCCTTTTGACTTCCTGGGGTTTGGGGTTTTTAGGGTTTAGTTTTTAGTTTTTTGTTTTTTTAGTGGGTTTAGGGTTTTAGGGTGTAGGGTTTCGGGTTTTAGGGTTTCGGGTTTTGGGGTTTTAGGTTTTGGGGTTTTAGGGTTTAGAGTTTTAGGGTTTAGGGTTTTAGGGGTTTCCCTGAGCCCCAGAGTCCCTTTTAAAGCCTACCATCTTAGCCTCCAGGAGCTCCGGATGTTGTTCCGACAAGGAGCTGCGGAACAGGTGTCAGAGGACCATCAGACTCAGGGTTACGGGGGGCCCCTTAAGGGGTTCAGGGTTCAGTTATCACGGTTTAGGGTTTAGGGTTTACCCTAAACCCTAAACCCTAAACCCTAAGGGCTATGAACTTCTGAAGTGGTCCCACGGTGCATGCCGTGGGGGTTTTGAAGTCCCTTTCCTTGCTACTGCTGTGATGCCGCGAAGGGGGTCAGGTCAGGCTGAGGCTCGACCGAGGTCTTCCGCAAGATCCTTCATGACACTCATGGTCTGCAGAGCCCAAACAGGTGTGTGTGTGTGTGTGCGCGCGTGTGTGGCATGCTACTTTGCAGTCTGGGGCCTGGGGGCTTCTGCGGAACATGAGTCCAGAAGGATCTTCAGAAGTTTGGTTCCTTGCAGCACCTTGCCCTTCAGTCGTCTGGTGATGCATGGTTCAGGAAGTGCGCCTGTGCATGGAGGCAGCGGGATCTGACACTGAGGCGGGTTCAGGTCGCCAGCACTAGCACGGTCTTCAGAGAAGAAGCAAGATATGAGGGTTCAGGGTTCAGGGTTTAGGGTTGGGGTCATGAGCGTCATGATCACCATTTGATGATAGCATGGCAGAGAGAGAGGGGGAGAGCGAGAGAGGCGATTGACACATCTTGACCTCAATCAGACCTCTCAAGAGTTCCAACAGCAACACAAGTAGAGTAGGAACGTTGTAAGATTGTAAGAGAAGTAGCAGCAACGGTCGTCGCAGTCGTCGTGATCGTCATCGTCACGATCTCGCAAGCTTAGGCTTTCAGGGTCCCAGTAAATCCTACGCCCCAAACCTGAACCCTCAGCAAAGCAAAACGACCCTAAGCCATTAACCCTAAAACCTAAATCCTAAACCCTAAACCCTAAATTCAGCAGAGTCTAATCATCCTACGTCCTGTGACAGAAGAGAGCATGCTTCTCCTCGGATGACATCCGGGATGCCATCGGCGAATCCATGGGCAGCGCGGCTGATTCAGTTGGTTTAGGTGAGGGTAGCAGGGCTTACCAGTTCAGGCTTCAGGGTTAGGGGTTCGAGGTTTAGGGGTTTAGAGTTCAAGGCCAAGCAAGCAGAAGGAGTTACCAGGGCCGAGTATGTAACTCCTTCTGCGGGGGTAACGGTAAGGGAAATAAACTCAATCTCTACATCCTGTCGCACTGTACATGAAGGCCCTTCGGCTTTTAAAGGCGTTGTCGCGATCATCCCCTATGCATCTCCGAACCGTCTACCAAGATAAGAGCTCAGTTATTCACTACCTCGTAAAGGCCTTTACAAATTTAACTGCACGATCCTTCGTAGAAACCTTTCTGATTCTCACATCGTCGGTGTTGTTCGAGTCCCTGCCCTTCCGCCCCACACTCTGATGGCAAATCCTCTATGCTAATCCCTGCCACCCGGGACCCTGATCCTAACAGGCCTTAACACTGCTTCACAGATTAGGCCCACACTGAAACCCAAGACCTGTAAGACTGCTCAGTTCGTCCCGCATCCTCAACCCTGGACCCTAAACCCAGAAACCCCTACACTCAACCCTGCGAAACCCGAAGGAAACCCTGAACCCCTTAACCCTTCCACCCTGAAGCCCCCTTCTTTGCCCCTAAACCCTAAACCCTAAACCCTAAACCCTAAACCCTAAAGCCCTAAACCCTAAAGCCCTAAAGCCCTAAAGCCCATGAAGGCAAGGGCCGAGGGGAGGTCACCGACGCCGACGTCCGGGAGTTTTCCATGGAAGGCGCAGCCCAGGGTTGGGGTGGTCTATCGGGTGGATTTAGGGCTGTGGGGTCTTAGGGTTTTTGGGGCTTCTTGGGGTTTTGGGTTTTCGGGTTTGAGGCTTGGAGGGTATGGATTTCAGGGATTTTGTGGCACATGTTGTGTAGTTTGGCATATTCTTTGCCAGTAGGAGAACGGGAAAGGACCAGAGTTTGAACAACCTCAGCAAGACGAACGCTCCCTAGAGGCTGGGTTGTATTGGGAGGGTAGTACGGCCATGCAAAGTAGCGAGAGTAGACAGGGTGGCCCAATAGTGATTCAAGTAGTGATCGCAGCGTCACTGGCAATGCAAGTAAGTCGGAAGCATGCCAGCAAGACTTGCAGTAATTTCCAGACAGGCACTTTTTATGCCAGCAATCACACCTGTCGAGATAATCGTGGGCCGTCATCAATATCTTGGTTGCAGTCCTCGCAGTAGGCCTAGTCGTGATAGTAGTCATCGCAACAAGTGTGAGGCCTCTTGCCTGCAAAAGTGGCAATACTAGGTTCCTGAGTAGTACCCTTTTGCCCTTTTTATTTTAGGGTCCCCTCCTTAAAGCCGAATATTAGGAAAAAGGGTACCCTTACTATAAAAGGGCTACTCAGGAACCTAGAATAAGAGCATGGTGAATGTCCATAGCTGCAACCGTAGCAAGAACCATGAGCCCAACAAGGGTAATGACAGCAACAAAGCATCATCGCTAGCTGATTCGCGGTCCTTGCACTACAGTAGTAGTCATCGATTTACGTGATTATGACCCAAAGGCACTTACCCTAAACCCTAAACCCTAAACCCTAAACCCTAAAAGACACCTGAGCCGTACCAGGTGTGAAAGAAGAAATCTGGACCCTGCTAGAGTCCTGCCCAGAGGACTCCCAGGACCGGGCCGGTTCTTGGAGTTTAGGGTTTTAGGGTTTAGGGTTTAGGGTTTTAGGGTTTAGGGTTTTAGGGTTTTAGGGTTTAGGGTTTAGGGTTTAGGTATCTTGGGAAGCTTGACAAACGGGCTTTCAAGGGGGTGGCGCGAGGTTGTGTCTCTGCGTTATTGCTTTTTTTTTTTAATTGGCGTAGCTCCTGGGCTTCGGGGATTGGGTTGCTACAGGAGAGTTTTGAGCTGGAAGACTTCAGGGACTTCAGGGTTGCTGGGTTTCAGGGTTTGGGCTTTCAGGGTTCAGGTTTGATGATGCAGAGTTTTCGTGATGAAGTGCCAAAACAGATGTCTTGCACTGCTCCAACTCGCTTCTTGGTTCACCGCAGCCCCACGAAACCGGTAGTAATATATACATAATATATATATATATACATACACACTATATATATATACATATATAT